GCATTAGTGAGCATTTGTATCTATTTGTAAATATGTAAAGGAAGTTAATGAACAATATTTTAAGGGTATATCAGGGTAACAAGTATTCAATTTTCAATGTATCAACATTTGAAAGGTAGGTAGGTATATAAATAGGCATGAAACAAACTAAAATCTGAAATTTTGGCAGGAAATCAAAGTTTTCCATATGTTACAAAAAAGAAACATATTCTAAGACAGAAAACACTAAGGAACAAAATAAAGAACTTTAGATCTAATGAATCAATAATTGCCTATTTCAATAAATACATTTACATACAGTTACTACAAAATTAAAACTTATAAAATTGAAACTTACAATTAGGAGACCAATGTCCATGTCCTTCTTGGTCATAAAAAGTTGTCTGATTTGTTCACATCGTAAAATTTCTTTATTAATGTACCTGGAGTAGTCATTAAGTGGCTTGCCATATTTACAAGGCATGAGAGATGTATGGTTGGGTCCACAAGCAAACAGATAAAAGGCTTCCTGAGAACCAATCCTGGCTCCTGAAAAGTGGAAAAAATAGTCACTTCCAACACTCTAACCAGACTTTTCCTAAGAGAGAAGAAACATTATTTTCTTTTTGCCAAACTTTCAGCTGTTTATCCCACCTCACAAAATTAATGAAGCTTCAATTTCCAAATTAATATGAGAAAATTACCTTTGTTAACTATAATTAGGGATTAATATATGCAAAGTTAATTGATAAAATAACAAAATTTAAATTTTTTGAAAAATGGAAACTATAGCTGGGTAAATTCCATTTTACAATTAAATTTGAACTATTTTTTTATTCTGTGTCTATTCAATACATACTATCTGTATACCAGTAAGTGTCGGAATCTGTATAGCTATAGTCATATAAATAAAAAAGACAACCATCCTAAGTTTACTGGCTATGACAGTGCATTTTTTGGATTGTAAAATAATATTGATTTAATATAAGCTTTTCTTTCTCAGGGTAGAGGAAGCATTATATTAAGCATTAAGCATATATATCAACTGAGAGACATGTAGATTACAAAAATGTTAACATATTTAAGAAATGCAATTTAGAAACACAGTATTTATTAAACACAGATAAAAGAACAGGAATCAATAATTTAGCTTAGGTTAAAGTAAAACTTTTGAAAATGCTTCAAAGAGGAAAGCTTACCATTAAAGAGGAGCAAATTTCCCAGGTCCCATTTTCCAGTCAACTGTAAAAACTCTTCCTGGGATGATAAACAATGTCCAATCATGCAAAATGTTTTATTGCTATCAGATGACAAACTTGTTTTTCTTGGAAGCACAAAATCCAAAGGGATGTCAGACTTCCTACATTAAAAACAAAGCTAAGTCAATGCTTTCAGGGAATAATAAGTATTCTTAATGATGGATACCTAATGATGGAAACTCCTGAATAACTTTTCTTTATTCAGCATCAGATGGTTGATGACAGTGATGCTGAGCAGGGCTGACACTGTATTTGATCAGAAGTGTTGGCAGTCCCTTGCTACAGAACGAAGCAGATACCCCCAGATTCTGCAATGTGTGATCAGGCCCCCGCTTTATTTGTTCTTCATCTGACTTCCACATATGTGCCTCCCTGGCTTATAGGCACAAACTAACCTTCTACCCCTAATTTTACAAAGAAGGCAAAAATGCCCAAAGTTTCACATTATTTATGAGGCTTTTGAGACTAATCAGAAAAAGAACACCACATCTCCAAGCTCTGACAATGCTCCTTGTTTTCCTAATTTTTTTCAGTGCAAAATGATTACAGAGCTTTGAATTAGACTCCTCTCTTTAACTGGTAGAGGTTACAGGAATGCTTACAAACCGAGGGCGGCCTAGAACAGGTCAAGAATCCTCACTGACAGACGCCCCAAATAGACAATTCCGCCATCTAGTTAAACTGCTGATTGACTGCCAAGTTTGGCTCAAACTCCTTATTAGAATAATAATAATCATCATCTAAATGAAATTTGTGAATAAGACAAAGACTTAGAATTGGCTAACGCCTGTTAGTTCTTCATAAGAAATTCAACTTTGCATTTGTTTAAGATTTTTTCCCCAAGGCCCTTTGTTTCATACTTATCATGTAAATTTATCTGTTTTAGTAGGAATTTTTTTAAATAAAGGAAAGAGCTGAGACAGTCTGATTGTTTCTATTTCTTGAACCAAATAAATGGCTATGACTGAAACACTACTGCCATCTAATGGTCTATTTCTAAGGATAAAAAAAAATTGCAGTATTAAAATAAGTGCAACAAATATTGGGTATCTATTAGTCATATATTTTTGCTATATTTGTGTGTTGTTTATGAAACAATAAAGAAAAACTATTAATATCACTTCTTAGTGTCAGTATGTACTAATGACACTTGCATTTCTTAGAGAAACTATAATTAAGTATTTGAAAATGATAGGGTCTAGCACAGTAACCTAGTGGCTAGAGTCCTCCACCTTGTATCTGCCAGGATCCCATATGGGTGCAAGTTCATGTTCTGGCTGCTTCACTTCCCATCCAGGTCCCTGCTTGTGGCCTGGGAAGCCAGTGGTGAATGGCCCAAGTCCTTGAGACCCCGCACCCATGTAGGAGACTCAAAAGAAGCTCCTAGTTCCTGCTTCCAGATTGGCTCAGCTCCGGTTGTTGTGGCCACTCAGGGAGTGAATCTTGCGGATAGAAGATCTTTCTCTCTGTCTCCTCTTTGTGAAATCCTACTTTTCAATAAAAATAAACCTTTTTAAAAAAAGGAGTTGAAAATGATAGCACCAAATTTAAGTAAACAGAATAATATATTTATCCTTGGTGTCTTCTGGTGCTGCACTTCCAATGCAGCTCCCTGCTAAATATGTCTGGGAAAGCAGTGGAAGATGGCCCATATGCATGGGCTCCTCCCACCCATGCAGAAGACTTGGAAGAAGCTCTTGCCTCCTGGCTCCTGGCTTTGGCCTGGCTCAGCACTGACTGTTGTGACCATGGGGGGATAAGCAAGTAGAGGGAAAATTCTATTTGTTTCTCTCTCTGCAGCTCTTTTAAATGAATAAATTTTAAAAATACATATATAACTACTGTATAGTGTTTTAGGGAGGATTAGATAAAATATCAGTGAAAAGCACTTATTGCAGTACAGACTCTATGATATAGAATGTAGGTATTCCCTTTTTTTGCTGGTTTTTGAATGTAGATATTCTAAGTGGTAACTTAACTGGTAAGCCAAATGCCTGCATACATATGTAAATACATACATATACGTTTTAAAATTCAATAGAACAAGTCCTTTCAGGTTTATTTCTTACCTCTGTCCAGACACCCATATGGAGATATTCCCATGGATGTTCTTTTTGCCTTGGGGCTGCTGTAAATAGGTGAGCACTAAATGTTGCCATTTACTTGGGAGGAAAGCATTCTCCTGAGATTCAGCCTGTGCCAGTGAAACAGCCTTCATGTCATCATTCGAGTCCACGCACACACTACAGGAAACAAAGGGCAGAAGTTGAAGACATGAAAATTCTTACCTTAGCATTTAGTATGAGTAGCAACTATTCTTACCTCAGTATTTAATGAGTAGCAACTATAATTCTCAACAATATAGTAGCATAAAAAATAAGTTCTACTTCAAAATAAAATGCTTTCAAAAGTAAGCAGTACTTTATTTCACAACAAAATCTTTTTATTTTATTCTATTATTCCTCATTTCATGAATGAAATTAGATTAGGCTCACTAGTTGGTGTTAATTTAGGAAATAATGATCAGAATTCAGTTTCTAAAGAATATTTACTATTTATAAAGTTATTACCTTTTGAGAAAATACATTGTAGAATTTGGTTTCCAAAAAAAGCATAAATACATATTGTGCCTACATGTTCAAATGCCAGAATGTGTTCTATATCTAACCTGCTTTGAGGGGTTACTGAAAGAATTAGGTTATAATGTACACAATAAATATGATGTTCACAAATCATATACTCCTAAATGATATACTACTTAGTTGTCACTTTACATAAATATTATGAGTAATCACTCAAAACAAATAAAAAACTTCACATCTATTACTTAGTAAGGAAAATAGGAAAAAAGAACAAAATAGCAATGAACACATACTGGAGAAAGTACAAACATAATAACACTTTAAGATAATTGCAATATGACAGAATATTTCTGTAAAATCAGAGTTCAGCAAGTACTTGATCTAAAATCTAACAGAGAATTAAATATAATTCTATTTATAGATTTGAGGATAGAAAAACAGTGTTACTAAGGTGTACTAATAATTCTTAGTGTCTTCTTTAAGTAAGATTTTCCTCTTGGGCTGTAATGACCTTTACTAGCAGATTTCACATTAACACCTCTTAGATTAATTACTTATACATTATCTATTCATTTAGGAGTTAAAATAATCAATACCGAAAAATAAAAGTGCCAATACGGGGATCAGCCCACACTTGGATCATCAATGCTTTGGATCCCAGTGAAATGATATGAATACAGCCTTCTTCTATAAGTCTTTCGCCAGGATGCGTGTACTCTGCACTTTCTGGTCTGTCATTGTCTATGAGAAAAAGATAATGGAATCATCAGTAAGACATTTAATGAAAACTGACTGGCAAAGTGAATTTGAAAGAATGCAAACGATGGCTGATCATTGGTAGTAAACTATTTTGCACAAAATGTCTGAACCTAACCTGTTCCAAACAATCACATTTCCAAAGCTTAGATATTAACTCCAAAAAAAAAGAGCAATGGGATGATAACCAGTAATTGAATGTTATAAAATTGTCAGATATTTTAAAAGTATATAACGAAGGATAGTTGTAAGCATAAAAACTGCTGTGAAGTCATTATAATGTTTCTTTTGTCAAATGGATTAAGCCTTTATAATGTCACTAATCTTGGTGTCACATCCCTCCTGTAATCATAACTGTATGATTTAAGAAAATAGATCATATTAAAATATTTCTGAAAAGACTGTACTACCAGAATATAGTAAATATTTAGAGTCCTTAGTGAGTACTCTTTGAATGTAGCTGCTACATGATTCTGAAATTGTATGTCCATTATTGTTTATTTAAGGCAAGTTAAGGTCAATCTTTACAGGCTTTGAACTAGCAGTTTCTTTATCCTGACTTTCTTTCTAATCATTTAAAACTCAGTCCATTCTGATTATGTACTACGAGCTAACTGCTGGCATTTTTCAACAGGCAAAATCATCACCAGTTTTTAAGAATATCACCTCTATGGGCCCGGCGCGGTGGCGCAAGTGGTTAAAGGTCCTCGCCTTGCACGCCCGGGATCCCATATGGGCGCCGGTTCTAATCCCGGCAGCCCTGCTTCCCTTCCAGCTCCCTGCCTGTGGCCCAGGAAGGCAGTCGAGGATGGCCCAAAGCTTTGGGACCCTGCACCCGCGTGGGAGACCCGGAAGAGGCTCCTGGCTTCGGATCAGCATAGTATCGGCCCGTTGCTCTCACTTGGGGAGTGAATCATCGGACGGAAGATCTTCCTCTCTGTCTCTCCTCTCTGTATATCTGCCATTCCAATAAAAAATAATAAAAATAAATCTTAAAAAAAAAAAAGAATATCACCTCTAGCAATGACAAGAATCCTGAAAGGAGAAAAGTCAAAGGTAATGTTATTTTGAAGGCTACTCCCAAAGTATGTATAGAAAACTAACAGTGTTACTGAATTTTGATACTCAGAATTGATAGCTCTGAAGTGATACGACATGTGACAGTATTGCTGATATCATCTAACGTACATTAAGCCTACTCTGGGTAAACAACTTTACTCAGAATTCATGTCTTATGAGACAGCTTAAGAAAAGTCTTTTGGGGCCCAATGCAATAGCCTAATGGGTAAAGTCCTCACCTTGTAAGCACTAGGATTCCATGGGCATAGGTTCTAATCCCGGCAGCCCTGTTTCCCATCCAGCTCCCTGCTTATGACCTGGGAAAACAGTTGAGGATGGCCCAAAGCCTTGGGACCCTGCGTCAACCATCATGGGAGAACCAGAAGAGGCTCCTGGCTCCTGGCTTTGGATCAGCTATTGCGGCCACTTGGTGGATGAATCATAGGATGAAAGATCTTCTTCTCTGTCTCTCCTCCTCTCTGTATATCTGACTTTTCAATAAAAAAAATCTTAATAAAGTGTTTTCATAGAAAATCTGAGTTTATGTAAACAAAATACTACACTGATTTATATGCAGGAACTGCAGAGTAGCAATAATTCAACTATTTCTTAACTTAATAGACTTTTATATACTTTTTAAAACTTAATATACAATTTAACTTAACATGACAATTTTACAAGGTAATATTATTCTCATTTTGCAGGTTATATAATTAAGGCACTGAAAGAAAATAAATTTTCTCACATTTATTTTAATGGCAAAAAATGTAGTACTGTTGCAATATTTCCTTCATTTCTAAAAAAAAAGTTTATGTGTCTATTACTTTAAGTATTCTTTTTAATATTTATGTAAAATCATCTTTCTATGTCCTGTGAAACACTGTTAACTTTAAAAGCTGTCAAGTGTTCTAATAATTATTTTTCCCAGGTTATTGTATATTTGCTCATTTTATAAGAGACTGTTTACATCAACATTGTCCATATTAAAATATGAGAGGAAATCCACATATTATATATAACAGTGAATGTTCAAGCACTGAATTAAATACAAATGAAACTAACTCCCTTTCTATAATTTGCCAGCCATATGATTTGGTCTCTTGGCTTAACTCACCTGTAGACAATGATCACTTACCTTATTTACACTGGATTTAGAACATATAAGGAAAGATGAGTAAAATTATGCATACAAAGGGCTCAATGTACATTAAACAGCACATCATCAATGCAATATTGATATCACACGTAATATCACTTTAGAACTAGTCAATCTTAGGTGGAGGAATTTAATCCATAAAAAAAATTCCACAATTATCAAAAATATTACAAATTATCTTTTCAACTTTTAAAAATGTTTTATTAACTTCCTAGGTGCCATGTCCGGCCAGCTTCAACCAGGATTGAAGACGGAACAACACATAATGAGAAAGAAGAGACAGACTCGAGTTGAAGCTTTTTGAAAGCATGGCAGGGGAGGGAGCAGGAAGGGAGAGCAGAAGTATCCTCTCCATGATAGAAACAACTCAATGCCTGTTACAGTGGCTTCTATTAATTTGAGGAACCATGTTTCATGTCCGCTTCTATTTGACTCACCTGCACATCATTTGCTAACTCATCAACAAACCAACTAGAAGGTCCTCATTGGATCACTGCATGCCCATTGTTAGAAAGAGAACAGAACATGAGGCCAATTACACAAGGACCTGCCTGGGGCTCTGGCCTTGCCAATCACAGACCTATCAACACAGCATAATCCCTCCAGTTTTTGTTTCTCAGTCCTCCTCTATCTACTGCTATTTCTTCCTAATGATCTTTGACAGTAGAACTCACTATTTTATCAACACTTGCTCCTGGGGGCTTTAGCTTTCAGCCAACTGCTGCCTTGCATGCCTTACGCCCTAGCAGACTTCCCCAAACACTCAATTCCTGCCTACAGCAACAGGCTAATCCATAAAATTACACATGTATTACACCATGTTAATAATGTGGAAAGGTGTCTATGGAAAAAATGGACTCAGTCTCAAACATGGATAAGATAATGTCGCCTATCATTTCAACTTTGACAGTGTCATTGAGGATTTTCCTTTCCGTCTACAGGTCAATGAAATGAGGTATTAGTGAAGGCCTGGTATCCTGAAACAGAGGCTCTAGCAGCTAAGGAACAATTGTGGAATGAAGAGTTACTGAGGTCTCCCTCTCCATGTATGCTTCATCTGTCTCATCCAGTCATTCCATTAATCCCACAGACCCCAGGCATTATCTCAACAAGTACACTTCATTACAACCTTTTTAATCAAGAGCTTTTTTCTAACCTTAGTGATACGGGGAGAAGACATAGTTTTATAGCAACACAATAGTGATTCTTCAGTTACACAAATGCTTGGAAAGAATCTTACTTTTTGGAGAGACAGAGAGAAAGCATGGCAGAGGAGAGAGAGAGAATGTTTTTACCTGCTAGGTCACTCCCCAAATTCCTAAAACAATCAGGAAGCAGCCAGGCGGAAGCTGGGAACCAGAAACTTAATCCAAGTTTCCTAATTACTGGATCCATCACCTGTTACCTCCTAGGTCTGCATTAGTAGGAAACTGGTATCAAAGTAGAGTTAGGATTTGAACCTAGGTACTCAGATATAGGATACAAATCTCTCAATCAGTAAGCCAAATGCCAAAGTTATTCTAACTTTGCAGAATGATAGACAGATTTAAACACTATGCGACAGGAATCTGGTGAGGGAGCAACGGGGGTAAAAGAAGGAAAGGAAAACTTAAAGAAGATGCAGGGCTGGCTAGTAGTAGTTGGGAAATAGGTAGCTGACAAAACATTAGCTATAGAGTTTTATCCTTTCCTTTTCTAAGGTCAGGAGCCACCATGATCCAAAAATTGAACAAGGTAAAAGGTAGGAAACGGAACTGACGATCCCAGTAGCATTATATATGTAGTCTACTCTCAATAGCTCTCTACCCAAAGTGTAGAAGGAAATGGAGATTTGAAGACTGACAACTCAGAGTTGAGCAAGTCAAGGCCTAGCACCCCTAGTCATACAAGATGAGCATGTTAAGAGCAAATTAGACTACTGCTGTCTGTTCTTTAATGCATAACCCAAAACTGCCAGCTACAATTCAGATAAATTTGTCATCATACCTGTCCCATCAAAACTGCTGTCTTGTAAAATTAATGATTTGTTTCTTTTCTTTATCTTCATTCTTCTTTCTATGGTATGGTCCGATTCATGAATACATTCCACATTAAACCACAATGAAATGCTGAAACCTTCTGATAGGTGTGGCCAGCAGTTCTGCCCCAGTAACGGCAAGTGGACTGGGGCTATGTGCCAAGAGGAAAGCAACCGATGGGGAAAACTTTCTCTATCGGTCTCTTTCTTGCTTCGCGAGAGTCGCGCTCTTCTCAGTAACCCCATGGCCTTACTGTTCAGAATCCCAGGACACTTTTGTGAAGGAACACCATTACTCATACTTGGGGTATGCAGTAAAGGGAAGGTTAGATATTGTGAAGGACTCATAATAATATCACTTTCAACAATTTTCAGAAGACCCAGAAGAAGAATTTCCTAGAAAAAAGAAAAACAAATGAAGGTATACACTCACATAACAAGGTATATAATAACCTTAAAATTCACGTTATCCATGAAAATATATGCATATTAACATGTATCAGCATTCCTATCTGAATATTTTCTTATCTACTGCATCTTTAAAATACTCATTTGTGCTAAAATTAAATTTTGTATAAAAATGAAGTATGAAATATATTTCATTCTTTTTTTGATTTTAGGGATTTGAGCTGCAGGTTTGTCAGTTTTATTCATTTTTTTTACATTTTATTATTATTATTATCATTTTATGATACAGTTTCATACGCTCCTGGCATTTCCCTTATCCCCTCCCACCCACCTAGTTCCTCTATATCATTACTAAACTATAGTTCTTCATACACAATGATGGACATATTTCATTGTTAAGATATATAACTGCCTGTGGTTTGTAAACTTTTTAAAGATTTATTTATTTGGAAGGCAGTTACAGAGAGAGAGAGGAAACAGATTGTGTTTGTGTGAAAGGGAGAGTGTTTGTGAATAACTAATAATTGCTACAGGAATATTCAGTTCCATTTTATGCCTCTTGCTTGGTATGTGTGAGAAAGAGAGATTACCCAACCATTGGCTCACTCCAAAAATGGATGCAGTGGCAGGAAAGCCAGGAACCAGGATATCCAGTTGGGTCTCCCACATGGTTCTCAGGGAACCAAGCACTTGAGACCACATTCTGCTGCCTTCCCACAGAGCACTGGCAGCAAGCTGGATCAAAAATAGAGCAGCCAGAACTTGGAGTAGAGCTTAATGGGATGCTGGTAACGGAGGCAGCAGTTTTCACCCACTAAGCCATGGGTTTATGCTGGTCCCTGATTTACTTTAAATTTAGATGTTTTATGATATAAATCTAAGATAGTTAGTTTTAAGTATTACAAACTAAGTATAGTAATCCTACCAGGAATCAATTCTACTAAAGAAAGATTTCTTTCAAGATACACTACTACTGGTTTTGTTGACTTTTTAAATGTAACCAATTTATTTGAGCAAGAGTAAGAGTAAGAGAGAGAGGTAGTATACCTGCCCAAGATCCTCCACCTAATGGTTCACTTCCCAAATACCCGAAATGGCCAGCCAGGTCAAAACAAGGCCAAAGCTAAGATTAGGAAACTAAATCCAGGTCTCTCACGTGGATGGTAGGAACCCAACTATCTGAGCCATTAGCACTGTCTCCTAGAATCTGCAAGGTATGAAACTAGAATCAGGAGGTAGGGCCAAGTTTCAAACCCAAGCACTTTTATATGGGAGGGTTTCCAGATCAGCTTCCTGATCACTGGGCTGATTTATTTTTTAGTGGAAGGATATAATTGGAGATCTTAAAAATTCTCCAAATTTCTGATTATATGTGACTGAATTCATAAAATTGATAACTCAATTCATTTCCAAATTATTTCACATGATTTCCCTCTAATGAAGTAATTCTTCTTTTAGCATGTTTGAGAAACTGAAATAAGAGTTTTTTTTAAGGTTTATTTTATTTTTGTTGCAAAGTCAGATATACAGAGAGGAGGAAAGACAGAGAGGAAGATATTCCATCCTAAGGTTCACTCCCCAAGTGACCACAATGGCTTGTGCTGCACCAATCCAGAGCCAGGAGCCAGGAACTTCCTCCAGGTTTCCCATGTGGGTGCAGGGTCCCAAGATTTGGGCCATCCTCGACTGCTTTTCCA